CACTGCCAGGACCTTAGAAGGGATGGCAGCACCCCACATTGCTCCTATCTGCCACAGCTGGGGCCATGGCAGGCCACACAGTGCACAGACTCCTCTACCTCCCTGTATCCATCCCTCTAGCGCTGTGCAGTCCTGGCACCACAGCCACTAAGCCTGTACAGGATGGAGTGCAATGCAGGAAGCCAAGTAGCTGTCCTGCTTGTTATGATGAGCCGCTGCACAGCACCATGAAAGTTGGGGGTAGCTGCCCTAGGCCAAGCCCCCGCTGCAGCACAAACTTGCCTCCTAGAGGCACTACATTTGCAGCAGCTCTTCACAGCAGGTGGGATGGCTACTCAGCACGCTGCATCGCACGCTGTCCCATGCAGACCGAGTAGTTGCAGTGCCAGGACTGTGCATCCACAGCACCAAGAGGAAGCTGGGGGCAAAGGAATGTGTGCTCTATGCTGCACTGTGTGGCCCAGCCTCAGCAGTACGGGGGCGCAGCCCTTCCTCTTCAGGCTCCTAGCAGGCTGGAAAGGATCAATTAGCAGGCCAGATACAGCCAGCATTTTTCCCTCCCCCAATTTAAACAGACTACCAAGTACACTGAAAAAACAAATTAAGATTTTAAACCAGGATATTCAACTGCTTTTAGCACTCAAGTCATCATGACTACAGTATGATAGCAAGTTGCAAAAACATACATGCAAGATTTTATACATTTATAAGAACTATTTTTGGACCCACAGAACAAAAATTTGTGTTTAACTGACACAGCACGCCATATACTTAGCGTACCTTCTAGGTATGATTCAGTTCTACCCTAAATGTTAAAAATGTGCACCACCAGACACTTATGTTTCACTTACATGGAACTGCTTGACTGCAGGTCTACGACACTTGCTAGCAGCAATCTCCTCAACCTTCATGATCTGAATGGAGTGAGCACGGGCACGATGACGGGCACCCATATCACGATCTGCAACAAGGTATATATAATCATATTCACAATGCCTCTTGTGTTTAAAAAAACTTTATAAGACTGCAGTGGTTTCTACCCCCTGGCCATCACACGTGGGCAGCAAGCAATAGGCCCAACTGCTAATCAGCGGTGAGGTGCCATGCGGGGAAAACTTCAATATTAAAGAAGCCACCATGTCCCGCAGCTCTAGCACAAATTCTGGAGATCCCTACCTATACTAAAATTTGAAATACCAGAAAATAAGCCTGGTGAATATCTGTTTTCCAGATTTTTCAACAGCTGGGCTCTCCTTTAAGAGTTCAGTCTTAAATTTTCATAGATGTGTTTGGTCTCAATAAGATCTTCCACTTTTACTTACCTGAAAGTTCTGAATTCACAAGTGAAACAGGAGTATATAGTTTTGAGGGACTGATTTTAAACAGATTTTCTGGAAGCTATGAAACCATCTGTTATACACCAGAAGCAAGGTTAAGATTCTAGAGCTCATGTTTATGAAGATCAGTATATGCAACCTCAAGTAACATTTTAACTTTTTTTTTACTAAGAATTATAAGGATATCAGTCACATTAGGCAAAACTAATATTACTCACCTTACTTATATGCTCCTATACAGAAGAAAAAAATATTATAATAGCTCAACTTAGAAAACAAATAATTTAACAAGCAGACTGATATCTAAACTAGTTCAAACAAAAAAAATGCATGTAGAATGGATTCAAATATACTTTCATAGGCTGCCTTCTTTTTTTGCTTAAAAAAAAAAAAGTTTTGCTAAAAATGTTTTCTAATTCTTTTTTTATATCTGCCCAACAAAAAAAATAATCTCTGGAAAAGAACTGCATGTAGAACCTTCAGTTTCACTTTCAAAAGCACTTCAGCTCTTGAAAGGCGACAAGGTACAGATTATATTTGCACACACGACAAGAACATTGTTACTAAAAAACAATATTCTTTGGGTTTTTGTGTGCATTCTTTGGGGAGGCTGAGAAATGGCAAAGGAGCACTTAAGGCAGAGTACGAGTCTAGCGCCAAGGCCTGCCCGAGAAAATCCATGTGTAAACTTGGAATTTTGTCATTTGGGCTGGGGATGGGCATGGGTCAAAAGGTAATTGGACACAATGCCAACCACAACATTTCCTTGCATGCCAGTACCTATAAATCTGGCATTCTTTAACTATTCCAACCCTAATGGCTCATCTGAGCTGAAGAATTCCTGTAACTTTCTGACAATTACTCTGAACTAAAGGAAATCAAGGATTTTTTTAGTGTCATCTTTCATTGGGCTGACTATATACTGGAAGAATTATTACACAAAATTATCACAGCTATACCACCAGTCCACAACTTCTAGATTTAAAGGTACCCTCAAAGAACTAAAGTAACACTAACTTATCATAGTTGCAGGTTTGTCTGTCCTTTTTTTGAGTATACAGAAAAAGGTTGTCTTAATTCTGCCCTGAGTATAAGAGCTATCCTTACCAAGATTGTAAAATACTGAAGTATTAAACAAGAAATAGCATGTACTACAGACACAATACTAGAATATTTACACAACCACTTAAACTAGTATTTCCTTAGTATTACTAGAAACTCAAAAAAAAATTGACCAAGACTAAACATGGACAACTTCAGTTTCAAGGATGTTATCCAGAAAACTTGGGAACAAGATGTGTTTGTTTAAGCAGGCTTCCATAGCAGCTGTAAGTTCTTCTAGGAACTCCCACCTTTCACAAGATGGACGATCATTTGAATGGAGTCAACCTAGGTTTTCATCTAATTGCATCTAATTTTTTTTCTACTCTGGAATGAAGCATTTAATACATGTAAAGATTACCTCAACAAATATTTACTTACAGCACTGTGTAACAGCACCAGCAGTTGTCAAGTCCCTGTACTCCCTGTACATGTTGTGGGTTCCACTGCGAGAATCGTAGCGCAGCCAGATGCCAAAATTCTTCACCCGCAGAGGGGACTTTTCAAAAACCTGATATTATAAACATGGACAAAGAATTGAAGACAATGCATACTGAGTGTTTTGCAAGCTTCGACTACAATTTAGGGGAAGAGACTAAGATTTAGTTAAAACACCATACAAAAAATGTGTTACAATGAATTTTTTCCCCTCCTATTAAAAAATAGGAGAAACCTTAGTGCACTTGGTGCTTGATGTTCAATCGGGCAAAAGCAGACTTTCTGCCTTTCTACCCTCAACCGGACTGTATTACACTAAAATATTTAAGCAGTATGAAGATACCCCCTGGACTACCATTTTAATATCAGCATATTTATTTTATTTTAAAAAATCCAAAAGCTATATCGAGCCAATGTTTCCAATGAAAGGAAGGAGAATGAGAACCTGCTCTTTAACAGGACACCCAATCTGATACTATTACCATGAATCGCATCAATTTGCCCTATAGTATAAACACCAGATAATGGCAAGAATTACAATCTTTGTGGCTTGAAGATTTATAAAAAAAAAAACCATATATCAAAAGGCAGCTCTGCTCATCTTTCCTGAGAGAAAGAGTGTAGGATCATACAAAAATAAGGCTAAAAGGCACCACAGGGGTCATCTAGTCCAGTCCCCAGCTAACAACAGGATCATTCCTGTTTAAAGTCTCCTCCAAGCATGTGTCTAACCTGCGCTTAAGAGCTACCCATGGGTAAGTCTCCCCAAATGCCCCAGGTAATCTCTTCCAAGGTTTAGCCCCCCTCAGTTAAAACGTTCTTCCCAGCAGCCAACCTCAATTTATTTTTCCACAATTTGTACTGAAAGGTTGGTTTGTTTCATCAGTTTTGAAGCATCACCATAATAAACATTTTAAATAAATGGTATTCAAATGCAAGAAAAATGCATACCAAAATTGTATTAAGCTCTTTTATAAGAAATCCCAATGTTTAAAACAGCTTAAGTACCTAGAGGCCTCCAAGCCCGCAGCTTTTTAATCCATACCTGCCCGCAGTACACGATCTCCCCAGAAGACTTCTTCATCTTCTTCAGCTGAGACACGAAGTACCAGAAGCGGGACTTGGCAACAACGTGATTGGGAGCGAAGATCCGCATCCGATACAGCGGTGGGGTTTGACATTTCGGAGTAGGAAGGCAGCGCCCGATGACTTTGTATTCTCTCAGCTGAAATGCAAGAGGCACGTGTCAGAACACTCAAAATAAGACCAGGTGCAGCCGCGGAGCCGGCCTGTTTCCCGCCCGGGGCTGCCGGCACCGCACCGTCGCGACGCCTGCCCGGAAGCCCACGGCTCATGGGGACGACGCATCTGCCGCTCCGGAGCCAGGAGACCCCGCGCTGCGCAGGAAGCTCCGGCCCAGGGGCCTTGGCCACGCGCCGGGCGGAGGCAGTACCGCCGCCATGTTGCCCCGCGCCACATGGAACGGAGCCATGGCCCCGCACTACCCGCCGAGGCGGCCCGGGCCCAGAGCCTACACCCCCGGCCCCGCTTACAGTGCCCGACGCCTTCATGGTGCTGCTCTGCTCGCGGGCACCCGGGAAAGGAAGCGCCGCGCGCCGCGCAGCCCCGCGTCGCCTCCTCCCGCAGGAAGTCCCGCCCACGGCCGCGCTCCCGATCGCCTATTGGCTGGGAGGCAGAGCTCTACTGGATACCGCGTAACTCGATCAAAGCTTCCGCGCATTCGTATTGGCTGCCCCGGGAGCTGCGGCCGTTGCACGTCGCAGAGCTTGCGCGAACAGCGCAGCGGCCAACATATGCATCTGGGGCTGGGGGGTGCGTCAGTTTCCGCCCGCTGAGATCTTCCTGCCGCGGCATCGCGCACGGGGAGCGCCGCGGAGGGGAACTACAGCTCCCGGCATGCCGCGCAACCCGCCCGCGGCCCTTTGAATGCCGGGACCCGTAGTGCCAGAGGTTCTACTTCCATGTTGGAGCAAGGACAGCGCGGCGCGCCCCGCCCCGCCAGGGCCTTGTGTTGAGCAGCCCGCGCCCAGCGCTGCAAACCGGACCTGTCCTCGGGCCCCCTCCGACTTCGTGAGCCGCGCGGCGGGGGCGGGGCCGAGCCTCCCTAGTTTTCGGCGGTGAGGTTAGCCGGTTGAGACACCCGCCTCACTGGGACCTGAAATGGCCTCCGGAGCACGTGCAACGGCCCGCCTCCGCAACCGGCCCTGGCACACGTTACGCTTAGGGCATGTTCGCTGCACTAAAGGGCCAGCGTCCACCTGTAAAACGCGTTAAGTGTGAGGGACTTGTAGGAGGGCTAGGGCTTCTGGCAGGCAGGGCATTTCCAGATAGCGGCACTGCACTGACAAGTGTTGGCTTGGGTGGGTTGATTGCTCACCAGCTCCAGTGCCGGAGGGCTGGGTCTGGGAAGCGGTGTTTGCTGCCTGGCTGGTGACTCCAGCCCTGCCTGCAGCCTGGTGAGCAGCGCCCTGCCATTGCTCTGAGCACCTCCTCTAGCCACTGGTAGTGCTGTGTGCCATCTAAGTAAAGCCCCTGCTATGTGTCTGTGCCCTTGTTTTACCCATGCTGAGCTCGTCGGAGGACTGGGGTCCTAGCTTGTAAAACTGGCATTAAAGCAGCAGCACTATTGCTAGGAGCAGGGAACCTACTCTATTTTGTCTTTCCAGGGAGGGTTGAAAAAAAGGCAGATTGAACTCCCTTTGTTCTCTTTCCCCCTTCCCATTTTAAAAACAGCCACAGGCTGGGAGCTCCTGGGACACAAGTTATAAAAGATGCCACATTTTTAAACATTGTTATCTGATACCTCATGCAATGAGGGGTCAGATTTTCTTTCACCCGATTGGCCATTTTTTAAACCGTCCACAGCCGTGCACTTGTGTTTGGTCACGGCTATAAACTGCTTTCTGTGGCCAGATTGGGCAAAAATTGTCAGTTCTGTCCACACCTAATTTGTTTGCTAAGTTTGACCCTGCAGAAAGGTTCATCTTTTTACTTGAATATCCTGTGAGGGTCTCCACTGGCCGAACAAGAAGTGGGAAAGACACCTGTGCCATTTTGATGGGAGATACTGAAGTAAGGAGCAACATGCAGATGTAAAAGCCAAGCATGTGCGCACGCTTCCCACAGGACTCAGCTCTGAGTCACTGCTGCGTGGGCTACTGAACCCGTTTTTCTAGTCAGAATTACAAAGCTGCTTTGGAAGAACATGGGTTTTGCTGCCACATGTCATTAATGATGTGATGACCACCTAAAATCCAATCCGACCCCTGCGTGATTCCCCAGCTCCAGGTTGAGTGTGTCCTACAACTGATGGCCCTTAATACAGACCCACAGTATAAATGAAAACAGATTGAGCCCACAACAAATCCTTCTTTCAGTGGCATTTGTGAGTAGGCTGTGCATGAGCACCTTACGTGCAGGATGCCTTATTTTTACCGGCTCCATTTTTAAAAGACCATGTTAGAAAAATGGAGGTGGCAACAGATCACCCTGGCACAAACCCCGTGGGGGTGGGCGGCACCTCCAGCCCGCAGGCGCCGAGGCCCACGCTGTGAACACGCGCTGTCACGCAACAGCCGGCAACGCGCTAGGCCTCGCGGGCCCACAGTCCCCAGCATGCTGCGCGCCGCGAGGCGGGGATCTATCCCAGCATGCCAGGCGGCGCCGGCCCTGATGGCGAGGGAAGGTAAGCTACAAAGAACTAGCTGCAGAGGGCTGACAGTCCTCCGCGCACGCGCAGTTGGGGTGGTGGTGCCGCAGAGCATGCCGGGCCCTGTAGTTCGCGGGGAGGGGGTGCTCCCGGCGGCGGGCGGGCCGAAGGGGCGGGGGCGCCTTTCCTCGCCTGGGCGGGCGGCAGCGCGCCGCCTC